GTTGTTTCCCGTACCCAGACAGGACATCCAAGGGCATTACTGCTCCTGTCCCTCTCGCCTCGCAGAGCCACGTGCAGGGCAAGGAACAGCTCGGCAGGAGGATTATGGCCTCCTTCTCCTCCACCCTACGTAGTACGCCGGGGGCTGGCACAGTGGCCTGGGCAGGTGTGGGAAGTGTGTGATTTGAAACAAGACCTCTCCCACCACGTGGCGCAGGAGGAACAGGCTGGGGGCACATCTGCTGCCTCTCCCCTCTCTGGCTCCCCGTCTCCTTCTCTCACTCACTGGCACAGGCACAAGCTCTTTCTCTCTTTTCTTCTGCCTGGTCCCACTCAATCGTGAGTTAACGTTTCATGGTCATCCGAGAAATACTGATCCCTCATGTTGAAAGACAAGCAGCAATCTCTGTGTGATTTGCGGTGACCACCTCTTTCCAAACAACACCCAGGGACCCTTTCAACTGTGGAGGGGAAGAAAACATTCCTGGCTTTGGGCAGATTCCTATAAATAGGGTTTTTTTTTCCCCTGAGAATTCACAACCTAGATGGCAGTAAGGCGTATTCCAGAACAGGAAGAGTTGTTAAGATATGGTTGTCATCATGGCTTGTGTAACTGTTGATATTCATGACATACCCATTTCACAGGCTTTCACTTAATCAGAAGCACAGGACTTTTACCACCAAGTAGTAGTCAGCTGAAAAACAAGGTAGGTCCACACCACATGCACTCTAGTTAATAATCACACCTTTTGGTCTTCATTGTTACAAATGCTTGCACTTGAATGAGATCTTCATTCATCTTGAGTTCTTGCTTGGTTCCTTGTGAGACGGCGTGTTACAGCCTCTGCAGCCTCTGCAGCAGCGGGCAGCGTTGTGAGTGGTGGTGGTCACATTGCAGGGCCACCAGGTCGGTGGGCTCTGAGAAACAGGTTTGTTTAAATGACACCAGCTGGATCTGCTCGTCAGGGAAATGAGGAAGCAACACGCTGCTCTAAAACTGGCATCCAAGGAGTGCTGAAACAGTCCCTCTGAGCTCCTCTTGATGGGTAAAGGCAGCAGGCACAACGGTGGCACGTATGGGAAGGATAACCAGCCCAGGAGGGGAAGCGTGCCTTCGTGCTCCTCCAGCTCTCCTAACAGAGGAGCATTAGCTCCTACTGTGTGCATTTTGCAGCTGACTATGTTTTACTTGGTCATACCTGAAACGTTTGCCAGGACTCAGCTGGTGAAGTGGCTTTCCCTGCTGGGCTCTGGATCGCTATCTCACCTACAGATTTTTCAGGGAAGATAATTTTTCATGTGTTGCCATTTTCTTAATGAACTTACCCTTTGTGATGAGTAGCAAACTTGGGATGAGCTGTTAGCTCAAGAAGAGGCTCCCTGAATCAGCAAGGCACAGGCGTGTGTGGACTTCAAGTGGATGAACGCCCTTTCGCTTCTGGAGGTCTGAACTTGGAGGTTTGGGCTCTTTGTGTTGTACCAGGTTTCCATCTCTGCTGGCAGCCCTTCTGTGCCTACCTGCCTTCAGCAGCAGCAGCTCTGCTCTCCCGGGGCATTGCTGATGGCAGGTGTGGGGGTGTTCAGGTTTGCCTCCCACAGGGGCACCTGTGCTGTGCTAATACTGATCCTTTGAATCTCGCCTAAGGAGAGGCAAAAAAAAGTTCCCAGCAGCCCATCAAACATCCCAGTGGATGTTTCAGTAGTTGAGTTTTCCCCTCTTTAAGATACATTGGGAAGCAAAAATAAAGAAAGGAAGGGGAAAAAAAACCCCACAAATTGGTGAAAGCAAACATGTTGTCAAATGCACAGGTAAGAAAGTATTTAAACTGGTAGTACGTCATATTTCTCATACTCCTGTTTGAGGCACTTAGACTAAAGAGGTGACAGATAAATGCAAACTTTTTTCTGTACTTATTTATTCAATTTTTCACTTTAATTTGCTTTGCTTATGTTCTCACCTTCTGGGAATGTGCAAGTTATCAGGTCTCACTGCCACAAATGCTTTCAGAAAATGAATTTGAAAGCCATATGTACAAAAATGTGAAGCAATTGAATTGTTTCAGATCTTCTCAGGTAGTTGTGCCAGAAGTCCTTCTCCACCACAAAGCAGAAAAAAACATGGGATATTCACTTAGCTGTCCAGTACATACTGAACATCCAATGTCATCAGGAAAACTGATTGAGACTAAGCCACAACTTGTGTGTAGAATTGCCTTAAAATAATTATGAATAACAAATTCAAGAAATCTGCAGCATGCTCATGAATATGTCAGAAATGAAACAAAAAAATGAAAAAAAAATAAAACAAATATGTGACTTGTAAATTATTCCTTCAGTCCCAGTCATATTTCCTAGCTCAAGAGAACAAAATGGATATAGTTAAAATATAAATAATCTTCAAATAATGCATTTATTTGTAATGATTTAGGGAGCAAATGTTAGTGGCTTTGTTTCAAGTGTGACTGGAACTATTTCAGATGTTTTCTTTTATGGAGCAGGTACTAAAGGCAAGGACCTTCTCTTCTGGTATTAGTTCCTATTACTGCTTTCTTGTTAATCGTGCGTCTGACCTGGAATGGCTTGAAGTGATTTAAAATCGTACCGTGGGTGTGTGGGATGGTCCTCGTGCCTGTTGCGACGGACCTTCCTGGCTGCAGCTCCTGGGCCACAGGGAGAACGCAAATACCCCATTTCTTAGTGAGTTTGTGCCAGTTCCCCTGTGGAAGGCTCCAGTTCAAACGATGTTTATATGGAAGCTCAATATATCTGGAATGTAGGAACAAATGCCTTCTTGCTTTTAAAGCTTTTAGCAAAGCATTAGGAGTGCTTTATAGTGTCATACAAAGCACAGTGCCAAAACTCAGGATAGCAAGTGTGTTTGGAAAACGTTGAACCTTGAGCTAGTTTATTTATATTAAAAAAAAAAAAAAAAAGTAATTCACATGCAAGTGTATTTGATCCTGGCTGAACCACATCTTTCCCCAGCCGTTGGCTGGACCGGCCAGGGGATCCATTCATTCAAAGATTATCTTTTTAACGTGCGTGCCAGGGTGTAGTAAATTGAGGGAATGTTTCTATTTTCTTCCGTACCTTTTTAAAGAAGGTGGGACTGCTGGCGCTACCTATGGTCAAGGATCTGTCCGTCCCATCCAGGTTGTGTGCCAAAAAAAAGTAGGCATGGGGAAGCCAAGAAAGGCAGAGGGATGAGCGGGGTTTATAAATAAGGCGGGTGGCGTGGCCGGGGCTGGCAGTCTGGCAGCCGGCGCTGGAGTCCTCCGAGCTCATCCCACGCTCCCGCCGAGTCGCTCATCTCTGTTTATATGAGTAATGGAGCGGCTGGGGGAGGGGATTTGTAAGCACGGAGCAAATACTCTTAGTGTTCATTTTGTGTAAGACAGACATCCACACCAAGTCGAGACTTCCAGCGACGTAGTGTGCAGTCACATGCTGTAGCATTCATGAGTACAGATATAAATCAGGCAGATGTTTGTCGACTGGAATGGGTAATAATTTCTTTCTCTCTTTGTTTGATTTTGCATGTTAGCCTCAGATGACAATTTCAGAATTGCTTTCTGCAGTACTTTTCAATAAGCAGAATGTGCTTCAGTGGAGACAGAGGGAGATATTTCTGTAGGGAGATAAACATATTTTTATATAGACACAAATACGGACTTACACACATACGTACATGCATATATATATATATATATGTATATTTACCATGTGCCAGTGCTGGGGGAAGAAAAAGGATGTGTCTTTTGGACTTCTGGTTTTAAACTCACAGCTTTTCTTTTTCTCTGAACAGACGAAATATGACACTGTTACTCAAACTATAAAATCAAATTAGCACCCTTTATTGTGTTTGCAAACTAATTAAAATGTAAAATGTCCTGAAACCACTGCCTTACTGTGTGACAAATGTAAGATTAGAAACAATTAGAAGGCACTCAAGAGGTTTGCGGTGTTTAGATTTCTGACATTGTTCTAATCATCCCTTTAAGTAGTGAAAACAATGGTTACCTAGAAATTAAAGGTTTAAAGGAAATTATCTTCTTCGGTACAGTCATTAGTTAATGATTGTTTATCATTTTAAATGTTGCCATAGTAGTCGGAGGCTGATTTTTAAATCTGAAAGCAGGCAGGACACGTAATAATGAGCAAACATCTGCTTCATCTATTATTTCTGTATGTGATCATAATTTATATTGTAATACTGCTATTGAAAGATGAGTGTGATATTTTTTATGATGATCCATATCCCTTTCTACGTATGGCTCAGCACGGTTAGGATTTAGTCACTGTGTTATTTCAGAGCTGTTTTATCTTAAGAATTGGACAAAACTAAGAGTGATTCATGTTAATTTATGTGTGGTATGTAACCCTTATGAAACAATCAATCACTTATTTCAGTACTTGTCAACTTTCAGAACTAGTTGTTAAGGGTTTTTTTTGATCCATTTGAGGACTTGGGGGTAATTTAAAAAAAAAACAAAAACCTTTTTTAGAAGAACTTTGACAAGAATGACAGGATATATAAACATTTCTTGGAGCTGTAAGGAATTTCAATATTTCAGAACATTTCCAAAACCAGATGTTTCCCAAAGTTGGAAATAGTAGTTAGTACTCTTACTTGAAGATTAAAACTAATAAATGCAGCAGGCTGATTAATGCAAAGTTACCTATTAATATTCTGTTTTGTTCTTTTTTGTACCATGGAGAAATATTTGTGCTTTCTTTCTGAGTCCTTCAGAGACCAGTGTTTGACTTTATATTAATTAGTTATGTGAAAGTAGAATAGATTAGCCTTGGGGGATATTCTATAGGAACGTATAGTGTGTCAAGATGTAACCCATGGAGGATGGGAATCTCATAATAAGCATTTACTGTAGACAGATGTGTACATTTCTGTGACTGATTGTAGTGGAATTCTTTATTATGCTTTCAGCTGTTAAGAATCCAGTATAAGACAACGTGTTGAAATTGTTCTCTATTAATTTTCAGCGCCAAATCTTAAAGGCAGACCGCGCAAAAAGAAGCCTTGCCCACAGAGAAGAGATTCATTAAATGGCATTAAGGATTCCAACAATAATTCTGAAAGCAAAGCTGTTGCCAAGGTAAATCACTTAATAATACTCTTTTCAGTACACTCTCCTTTTTTAGGTACAGCCCTGCCTTTGTTTCCCAGCATGCCGTTTCAAATTTAGAATGTAATTTATTTTCTGGGGGAGATAAATGTAATTTTTTTTCAATAGTTTTCTTCTTCACTTTAAATCATGTCTGTGTTCAAAAGTTACCAGCAACTATAATCACCTAACAACCTAATGCTATCAGCCTGTTGGTAACTGGTAGTGCTTAAGCTTTTTTGGCATCTAGTGTTAGTTTTCACATTCTGTGACACACAAACATAGTTTGTGACAGTATCTTCGAATTAAAAATAAACCTGGGAGCAGCTCACCCTGTTACAATGTACTTCTAAATATAAGTTTGAAGATAAACAGACTATGAAACAAGAGCCGCTTCAGTAATGGTTTCTAAGAAGCACACACAAACGATATTACCCTGATGTTAAGATTTTTTTTAAATTAGAAAAAAAAAAGATAAAGGCAGAAATTCAGCATTAAAAAAAAAAAAAAAATCTGTGCTGTTTCTTTAATACTTAGTGCTGAGCTGCATGTTCCAGGGTTTGTTGAATAGTGCATGCTTTTACAGAGTCTTCTGTATGTGCTGCAGTGCTTAGCCCATACCACAAGGAAAAATTTGGTCGTTGATTTGTGTTTATAGACTTAATCTTTTAGATATTTATGGGCTTGTATCTTTTCCTTAAAATATGTAAAAATTGAATGTTTGTAGTGTAATTTACATCCTATTTTCTATGTTTTCTGTGTGGTTTTAAATAGGAATTTGACTTTCTCTTTAAAAAAAAAAAGCACAAATGGCTCCTTTCAAGATGATTTAATTTGAAACTGTAAGATGCAAAGACGGAAAATTACTTAGAGCAGTACTTGTAGATTTTTATCAGAGACAGAACTTCGTCACTGTGATACTTTCGAGCTAAACAGCTAAACAGGTTTGCATAGACTGAATTTTTAGGCCAACTCCTCCCAAAATCATTGTTTCAATAAATTAGATGGATGTGTATCTGAAAAACACTTCCATTGTTGTGACCATCTCTTTAGGAAATACACTGAATCTATAGATCCATTTGTGGTACGCAGTGAATGTCCTGGGAGATTAGGAGGTTAAAGAGGTCAAGTGGAAGTGTTCTGCACTCAGTTTCTCATAGGAAGGCAAATTAAATTCCACCTCCTCCTCCTCCTCTCTAGGAGTTCAGTTAAAATTGTACCTTCTGTTGGTGACAATAAAAGAGGCTGAAGTTCATGACGAAGCTCTGCCCTTAAGTCACCATTTCTGTTCTTTTTGTGCCCTATTGTGCTCAGTTGGAGCCCGTAATGTCATATTAGATGGGCATGGTGAAAGGCAGTGGAGCCTGGTTTGTTGAGTTGCGGGGTCCTGCCAGATACGATAGAGTTTGCCGGAATGTTTTTGCTCTGTGGAAGAATGTGCAACATCCGCAGTGTGGAAGTGTCTCGATTTGCCTCAGTTCTGCTTTCCCCCAAGCCATTTTTCATGTTAAAATATTGCCAGCAAACTGTGGCATGAGCCGTGTTGTCAAAGCACCCCGGACTGTAGCATGAGGAGTTCTGCCTCTTCAGCACCTGATATATAGGTATTAGATAATTAGAAACAACAGTTAACACTTCCTACCAAATTGTTTATCCTCTCTGTTTATATTTGGGTTCACCCTACTAGTTAAATGGGAGGATATTTCAGATAAGAAGTAATTCCGCCTATTTATCTAGTCATACTGTGCTCATCATTGTGCAGATATTAATAGCATTAATTATCTTGGCCAGCTTAATTTCATTATAAATAATAGACATGCTCATGATATAATGTCCTTGCGTGTAGTCACACTGACTTCACTGTGGCTCTTCACATCAATCTGTGTCTCAGGGATATACTTTAATGGAGGACAGGGAATCAGAAACCCCGTACAGCAGATGTATTCCACTTTATACAGGCTCTGCCTGTGAGTTTCTGCGGAAGGAGGGAAAGTGTATTTGGGGAAGGGAGGGGAATGGAGATCCACCTACTGTCTTCTCGTTGTTGGGAACAGTTGGGATGTTAAGTCATCATCTTAGTCTCTGTGTTGGGCTTCACTATCGATTTCCCTCCTCTGTCCATGCTCCATCTCCGACTAATGCTGACAACAGGTCCAGGGAGAGCAGAGTTGAACGCTACTAGTGTAAACAGGACAAATCCACTTGTGTCAGATGCTGAAACATTCTGGCAGCGGTCCTGGCCATATTCTTGTTCCATCTAAAATCCCTTTTGAGCAGAAGTTGTGCTGCTTTCATCATCATGGCACCCAACATCTGACAGCAGCCTCATTTCTTGGGTGGTGAGGCCACGGCTCTGATGGAGACGCAGTGGCTGTATGGTTCAGGTCAGGAAATAGCAGAAGTGGCATTCCGAAGACTGTGGTTTTGAGCTAGTCAAGACCAACGCAAGCCACATGGTTGTAATGACTTGCTGAATCTCATATTCTCAGCTGCCAATGACTAGAAAGCTTTGTACCTTCTTATAACTTAGTTCTCTTTAGGCACATTTACCTTGAACCATGAGCAGATCCTTTTGTAGGCTCTTACTGTTACCTGACACAGAAGAGCATTTGGTTGAGTATTAGCAGCTCTGAGTAAATTCCAGTGTAGGTGGCTTGTTAAAAATCGAGCGATAGGGGGACAGACAGACAGTATGGTCCTGGACCTGCAGGTGCTGCCAGAGGAAGTGTGTCTTTTGTGTACCACTTCTTGCTTTTGATGTCCTTGCTGGTCACTGCACCCGTTTTGTACCTACTGGGGAAGATCCCAGGGGAGTTCCCTCCCAGGCTGGGAATGTAAAAATCACAAGAATATTAGGCCATCTACTGAGGAAGGATCAGCTCTCCTAGAGAGGTTGTATATCAAGCTCTTCTCTCCAAACACTCCCAGGACTCTGGAAGCTTTCGTGCGTCATATGTCATCGGTGCTGGACAGGCTTTTGGGACTTGCAGGCTCCAGCGTGACCCTCGTCGTACCTGCTTCGTGCTCCCAAAGGGCGTTCCCGTTCAAAGTGTGCAGAAATGCACACTGCAAAGCTTTTTAAAACTGGCTGATCTGACCGTTTCGAAGAGCTAAAAGGATTAACTTGTTAAACATAAAAATGGTCCCCAAATGAATCCACTCATCTCCTAGTGCAAATGCTGAAGTAAATCTCTCACTTCATTTGTACAGCAAGATCTGGGAAATTAGTTTAAAAGTTGCCGGGATATGCTTTTCCTGTGGCCACAGGTGGCCTGGCATGCTCTCAGACCTGGAGATTTATTCTGAGCGCCTCAGCTATTATCTGATTGAAACTCTAAAATGCAGGTCTGTAATGGTCTGTGTTGTGTGTGACCTCTGGCAGGAGAAGACAAACACATGGTTGCACCCATGAGCGTTCATTGGTCGTTTGGTCATGGATCATACTCCTCTGATGGAACGAACGCACAGTAGGAGTTGGTCAGATGTTCCCAGAGCCCATCTCAGTACACCCCCAGTTTATCCCTGCTGCAGCGCTGGATTGCCTGTCAGGGCTTTAGCCCTCAATTTAATTTTGGAGGTGTTTTTGGAGGCTACAGTGAAAGAACTTCAACTCCTCCTGGGAAAACTGCACTCTCCCTTTGTAACAGAGTCATTCAGGCTTCCTGAGCCGATCAGAGAAGAGAGCAGAGCCAAGCAAAACTGTGTTCAGGACCTTCCTCCAGATCCTTGCCCTCTACGAAGATTCAAAACTATATTTTGAGAGAGAAGGTCCGTTTGTGACGCCTGGTCCAAATCTGGCATTGCTCTCACTGACTTTGATACATTTGTGCTGGATTTACATGGGTGTTACCCAGAATGGCATTTGGCCCTTTTGGTTCTCGTTAACCATTGCTCATGGCATTCATCCCTATCTCCTGTCAGATGGTGGGGAGGTTCCAGAAGTGAGGCTTGTGCCTTGGACGCTGAGCAGATGAAGCATTGCAGTCCTCGTCAAAGCTTCGTTGAACTTGACACTGCTTGGAGTCCATCTGCTGCATTTTGGCACCTTTGAGTTCCACAGGCACTTTGACCTCGCTTCTCTGTGCACTGGAGAGAAGGAGGTTGTATGTTGCATGGGGTTTTCTCACTCCCAAGGGCTTTTTTAATGTTATTTTCTTGGTTTCCTTTTGTCTCCTTGGGAGTAACAACTCTTGCCGTTAGTTTACTTGCATAACAGCGAGCTTTGATTTCATTTAGCATTCATGCCCAGGCTGTCTTTGCAAACATGGTTCTGAATTGTCCAGTTTGAAAAAGAAAACCTATTAAAAAGATTGATTTATTGATTGATCGACTTTACCTAGCAAGTGAGTGACAAAACTGAAAAATTGTTCCCAGGTTCAGTGAACTTTTTCCAAGTTTTACCTTGCAAGAAATCCGCAGCTCAAATCAAAAATCCTAGATTTATGGAAATCGTGGGTTCATACTGGGAGTGCTAACCCAGTCTTTGGTATATAGCATTGAAAACTATGACAATGTAATCTAAACGTTACAAAGGGAAGCTGTTAAATAATTTTGTGAGGAGCCAAAGCAAAATAGTCAAGGGATTACAGCTCTGAACTGAAGATGAGAAAATCCAAGTTCATCTAATAGGAAAAAAATCATTAGCTCCATTGAGTTTTGGATGAAACCCAGGATCTTTACAGCAGCTTAATCAACGAGCATACCTATTACTAAAAGGTAAAGCATGGAGTCTTGTGCCATAGGAAGACAATATCTCTTTGAACCATGCAACCAGAGAATATCGAGCAGTACAGTGGACATAACTCAGCAGTAACTGAACAAGAAAAATGCCACGGGAAGTCCATTTCCCAGTCCTGGATGCGTTGCCTGGGAGGAGCGAGCCTGTACCCTGCAGTGTCCAACTGGGAGATTTTTCAGCAGCATTGATTGCCTTGGAAAATTGTGGCCACTTCTCCTCTTTGCTTAGGAGCTAATGTTGCTTTGTCCAACGTCTGTGGAAAACTATGGAGGCAGCTAATCTTAAGTCAGTGCTTTCTGCGAAGTTAATACACTAGAGGAAAAGAAAAGATTTTGCTTTCCCTGAGCCTAAACACAGGGTAGCTTTATTGAGATAAAATAAGCATATCATAATCTTTCCAATGAGATGTTTGTTGTTTGTTTACAAGCACTTACGTAATGCTCTTCATAGCACTCACTTCCAAAATGTCAACAAGTACCCAGGAAGCACCTGGTACAGAAGTGGGGAGAGTGAAGAAGAGTCAACGGCTTACTTGACCAAAAGCTCCTGCCTTCCTGTTCAGCGAGATACCCTGCTCTCCTCTTCCATCCTTCTGAAGTACCAAATACTGGCTCTTATGGGAGCACAAAGGACGTGTCTTGGATGGAGTGTGGAGCTGCCAGAAGGCTCCTCACAGCACTCAAAAACATAGAAGGGACAGTGCAAATCCAAAATACATGTCACCATCTCTATTACTTCATGTTAGAGGATTTCCGGTGTTTCACTGGAAATATGTTGATCCCATCTTGGTCATGGAGAGCTTTTAAACATCAGTTTGCAAGGTTCTGCTCTTTTGTTTTTCATATACATAAATTATGGGAATGCTTGAGCTGTAATTTGCTTGGTTCATTGAGAGGATTATCTTCAGGAGGATCGCAGGATTAAGCTGGTCTCACTGCATGTTTTTTCCCATGTTTGAATACTGATGAGAGGTAAAGTGATTCCGATTTGTTGACTTCCTGGCTGGCCCATGTCTGCCAGGGAGGCCAGTGGGAGACCTGCAGCTCTGGGACTCGTGTGCATTGGGGCTGCTGATGTCTACCAGGAAAGGCTCTGACTACCTGTCTCTTCCTTCTGCTGAATACTTTGGACTGTGCTTAAGTTTAAGCAGATGCTCAAACCCACTTGACTTAAGTCCGTGCTACAGCAGGACCTCCGCTCGTGTGTGCGGAGAGCTCTGCCTGGGTAAGGCTTGCTAAGGTTTGCATCTGTCTTGGTGGGCCAAAGGAGAGAAAAATGTGTCATTTCAGAGCTGGCTGCTGAGCATTTCTGGAAGGGGCTGAGCACCCTCAGCTCCAAGGGTTGTCTACGGGAGTTGACAACGCTCAGTGTCAATCCTGGAACGAAGGTTATTATTAGACTTGCTAATGGCAAGTGTATGTGAGAGATGGGAGCTGTCTGTGACATAGCAATGTATAGTCATAAAAATGCAGATCTGGAGAGCATTACCAATGGGTTATAATGATTTAAAGATGTGGCTATTTAAAAATGTTGTGACTAAGATTCAGAACAAGACATTTAGCTCTATAAATAGCTTCCTTTGTTTCCCTTCAAACACAGTTGCGTGGTTTGGCCTTCATTTTTTTCAACAATCCCTTCTGCTAGGAGAGGATATTTATTCCTTAAGTGAAAATTAAAAGTTACCCAGATCTGATATGACATCTTTTCTTTTCCCAGGTAAAATGTGAGGCTAAGTCAGCTTTGCCCAAACCCAAGAGTAACAACAGCAACTGTAAAAAAGGCTCAAGTGAGGATAAATCAAAGATTGCCGTAGGTGAAGAATGCAGAGCTGATGAGCAGGCTTTCCTTGTGGCTCTTTATAAATATATGAAAGAAAGGAAAACACCAATTGAACGAATACCCTATTTAGGTTTTAAGCAAAGTAAGTATCCTTTTTCTCACTTTCTTGTTGACATTTTAGAATGCTTTGGCTTCTCTGGAGAAAGCATTTGCACATGAAGCCTATTTTAAAGCCTTATGGATGGGGGGACCATGTTTATATCTACACATTTTCCAGTCCAGGCATTTCACTGTCATATGCCTAGATTTGCATCTCTTCCTTCTGGGGTAGTTGCTGCTGGATATTTATAGGTTTAAATCCGCTGATTATGACTAGAAATAGGCATGTTGAAAACTCTCTAGTTTTCTATTTTGTAAATCTGCAGCGTCTGTGATGCCTTTCTTCTGAGTTAATAATATGACGTATCTTTATTGTGCCCAGATGTTCTTTATGAAAGGATAAATATTAAAGGGAGACATTTAAAGGTGGTCAAGAAAGGCACAAAAGGGATCGTATTTTTAAGCCCAAAAGTGTGTTTATAGTTAATAAATTACTGACTTTGGAGAATATAAAACCAGACTGTGTCTGTTTAATACAGAATGAATGTTTAGAATTGCTTTGGCGTGTACAGCTTGTAGTGCCACAATCTGTAAAGCAATTGTAGGTGGAGAAGATACAGTTGTAACTAAATTTTACATAAATATTGCAGCACAATGTAGATCTTTCAGAGTTTCCAACAAAAACTGTAAATGGGGATATTTTTTCTCCTTATCTATAGATTGAATGATACTTTATTTCCTTAAAGGGAGAACTGAATGGATTGAAATATTATTTACTCTTAATTTATCTCCCAGATTAAAACCATGTGTTATTTTGATGAAGAATGTCAAACCTGTATGTTTTACATAACAATTTACATACCTAATAGCAATTGGCACTGATTGCAACAGGCCTCCAGCAGCCATTATAAACTTATATAACTTCGAATGATTACAGTGTTTGTCTGAAAACTGGCTGCTTGAAATGGAAGTAAAATTAATGTACTATGAACAGCTTCGTTGCATTATGCATTGATTCAGATTAAATCAAGGCCTAAGCAAAGCTCTTGATAGCTTTGAAACAGTACAAGGTTCAATGAGGCTTTCAGAACATTTTGTGTTGAAGAGAGGATTTTTTTTCCCTGATTTCCTTCTGCACTCCTTCAAGCATGGGGACAGGGTGGGCTTGAAAGACAAGCTAAAGTATTATTCCTAAAATTCCCCACCAGGGTAGGGCCCTCTGCTAACATTTAGCTGAAATACACTGAAAGTAGCCTGACATTCATTATAAATTAGGGGCCTGATCCAGCAAATACTTAAATGCCAAGAGTAAGTATGCTGAGAAGAGCAGAAATGTTTGCAGGACGGGGCTCTCTATTTGTCCAGCAAGACTTGTGCAAACATTGCCAATATAAACAGGTTAGTGGGAAGAAGCAGTATGTACGCTACAGCAGAGCATCCCCCCGTGGAGGAAGAGATCCTGTCCTCTGTGATCCAGAGCGTTATTGCTGAGTCTGGCCTGAAGTATTTCTAGTATGTCTATGGGGAGTCACTGCTTCTTGGTGGAATAGTGCATGCACCTTTCATGGAGCTAAGACATCAGTTTTTCTTCTAGCAATTAAAATAAAATAAAATAAAATAAAGTGAGCGCCAGCCCTCATGTGGGTCAGGATGAAAAGTACGTGAGAGAGGAGGAGTTCGGCAGGAATTAACAAGCATCTCCCAACACATCTTTTGAATTGAGTTACCTCTGCTCCTCTCACCCCACAGCCGTGGGCAAGACACAACTGCTCATACCATAATTATTATGGTAATTTTCATTTGTACTCCCCCTGGGTTCATTTGGGCAGGACCCGTTAGAATGCAGCTTATTGTTTATTGATTATGGAGGCCATTATCTGAGCTGCAGTAAATATTGGATATTGTGGTTTAATCAATAGGCTTTCTCTGTGAGCCAGTGTGTGGCTCATGTTCGCTTGCTAATGAAATCAGTATTAAAGAAATAATTAAAAGCAACGTTCTTCCCAATGAGTAATTTTTGTTATCAAAGTTATGGAAACATGCTACAGTCAGTATACCGTGCCTCTTATCAGCAAAGTCAAATGAGCCTATTACCTTTGTCTCAGTGTATTTTTCCAGTCCTGTTAAGGAATCTAAGTGTGTTCTCTTGTATGTAATTAAAAATATATATAGTATGGGCTAATATTTACTCTTCAGATTATGTAAATACCTCTTTGGAAAATGTTTCACAGGAGCTTTTCCAGGGGCTGTGAGCTTTTTTACTCTATTTTTCTTTTTTTAAAACTGTGTAATTTACATTTCTTTGAAATATGTTGGTTAATGCAATGCTTATCTAAATACTTATTGTCCCTCTAACAGTTAACCTTTGGACTATGTTTCAAGCTGCTCAAAAACTGGGAGGATATGAAACAGTAAGTGTTTAAGTAACTTAAATGAAATAATTGTGCAATCTAACTTTTCCCTGTTAGAAAAAAAATGTAAAAGCAAACAATCATTTGCTGCGTTTTAGGCTAGCTGTACACATTGTGGGTTTATTGGACCATATTTGGAAACGGTCCAAATTAGTTCCAGGTTTGGCAAAATTGTAAACTTGTCGTAAAAACTACAAGTGGAAAACATATGTAACTCTTCCCTGTCAAGGAAATTAGTTGGGTCTGTAATTTTTTCCCATGTTGAGAAAGGGCTATTATTGTACAACAAGCCAAGATTGCATAAAAGAAATTTCACTTGGCAACATCCCTGACATCTGTTCATGTCTAATATGGGAAATGTATTAAAGGCTTTCAAAAGTAATCAGCATTGTCCATTAAGGAATAGTATGCTGCAGTATCTTCTCTTATTCCAAGTGTAAAAGATCTTTATTAGACAAAGATCAGTACCACATAAACAGGAAGTTATCAAAGTAATTCAGAAAAGTCTCTGACACTTTTTATCAGCTAACCATATCTGACAAGAGCAGTTTATTTTTAGCTCACAGGAAAATTTGATGGCCATGGATTTTACAGCATGTATTTTGAACCAATAAAATATTAGAGCAACAAACTTAGATTAAAATCTTGAAATGAGAAGAAAGAGCTGCATTAATACGGCACATCGAGATGACATCTGTAATAAAACCCAATTGACATAGGAAGATGTCGTCATTGGAAATATTTTCTTTGCACACAATGATCAGATTAAGTTGTTCAGTTCCTGCCGCAGTTGGATGAAAGAAATTATTTTTGCTTTGTTTACGAAGTAATCTGGGATATCTGTGCTGTAGAGAAATGACAAGAAGAAATGCACTATCAAGAAACCGAAAGTCGTTTGAACCAAAATATAAAACTGAACAGTTTTTCCTTCCATACAATGAAGCATATTGTTCTGTAAATCAGCAGCCCAGGTTGATTTGCATGGGTGTGGCTGGGATTTTGTGAAACATGAAATCTAACGTTCTCAACAAAAATATATGCTTGATTTGGCTTTTATTGTTCCTGTATCTTTCATTAATCAGCACATACCATGCTTATGTATGTACAGGGGTGTGCGTAGGTGTGCTCATGGGTATATATGAATGAACAGCTACCACAGATCGTTACAGCAATCATGAGCCAAAAGTAATTGCCAGGAGTTGTAAAGTGCAATGAAAATGAGGGCTAAAATCTTGAACTTGATCCAGAGCACAAGGGAAGGCCGGGAGGGAGATTGAAGGGAGAGCGGCATGTTCAGAGTGCTCAGGGAGGCGGGCGATTTTCACATCAACATTTCAGATCTGCTCGAAGGGACGGAGGATAGAAGCAGGCATGCCGAAGTAGTGGCTTGCTGGAGGGAGCTGAATTTTAGTGCCAGAACAAGAAGCAGAGGAGTGGATTTAGAGGTGCTAGAGAAGGTGAACCTCTGTGCCTGGGGCAGAGCAGGAATAGGATGGTGAGTTTGCGAGCATGTGGCCAGAGAGCCGGGTCTACCAATGGCAGCAGAACCATGAGAGGATCAGAGGGAAAGGATCACATACGTGAAAATGTCATCCAGAGTAGCATCGGCCCACCCTTGTCTCAAAGCTCCTGCCCTTTTCTCAGTGACAGATACTCTCCCTTGTTCAGGGGCGTTTTTTGCCTTTGATGAAAATGTACCAGTGGTGCTTATTCTTCATAGAGAAGAAACTAAGCAGTTGCTTGCTGTTGGTAACTGGCAAGGCAAGCATAGCTCACACTCCCTGACACACCTGGGAGCCCAGCTTTGGTTTGAGAATGACTCTGGCTGAAGTGATGGGCCTGATCTTGTTTTTATGACGTGAGTGGCTTCTGTGCTTTCTGTGCAGAAGAGCTGAAGTGGGGAGGACCATTGTGATGTGATTTAAGTTGTACGTGGAGCCTGAGGTTTCCTGACCTCATTCTCTTCTTTTAACAGTCTCATCCTTGATATGGGTCTGCCTTTGCTTTGTGTTCCCTGAACACTAAACCAATAGCTGTTGCAATACTTTGACCTGTGCACACCCTGGGTTTTATTATTTTATGGCCAGTTGATATTCATTGAATTTGCCAAACTGCGTTGGTTTGTATGTGTTTTATCATGGCGAGCATTGCTGAGAGGCTTTTGTGTTTGATTCCTGTTTCCTTTTTCAGCAAGGCAGTGGATGACTGGGGTGACCAGGACCTCAGTGTGAATTCCAGAATCTTAGGCAGGTCTGCTTAGATGTAGAAATTTTGAGTGAGTGCTGTAATTCAGTAATGACCAGAATCCACCAGTCACACACAGAGGGTCTATATCTCTTGATGATGAGAAGTCATGTGCAGAGCAAAGGCTTCCTCAAACCTAGCCTGATAAATACACACTTACCTATATGGATGCTTCCATCTGACTTGAACAAGACATTTGTCTATTATAAGGGTTTCATCATCTTTAACTTGTTTTAAAATTTCAGAAGTTTCTGCTTTGTGCACTGAGATAGAAATGGATCTTTTCTCTTGGAAGTATTGTGAAGGAAGGAATATTTGAAAGCAGATACTTGGCTTCAACATGCGACAGCCATTTTAGGAACAGGAAACAAATAAAAGATTGGTTAAAATCACATATGGGAGCTTAGAGCGGCCAGGTGACTAGTTTTTTACTACTAAGTGTAGAAACTTTCCCAGTTAAAGTGGTTGCAAACTTTACGTGCTTGTGTTTGGCAGAACTGATAGTCAGCCCGTTTTCAGTTTCATCTCCTGCCCTAATCACCTTGTCCACATATAGATGCTTCAGTAGGGCTTTAAAGACATCATTAAAGAGAAACAAGCAGAGATTATGTATGTTGTTTTCCAACTTCTGCCCAGATTCACAGCACCGTGCAAGACCTCTGAGTCCAGTCGAATTGATTAAGGGTCTAAATGTGAATGAAAAGAGGCAGGGGTTGGATTTGAGGTGCAGAGAACAACTTTCTTAGCCATCTGTCTGATTTCTCTTTATTGTCATGTATCAGGTGCTGGAAAGGATCCAGTGAGGCTTAACAGAGAGTATTACCTGTACATATGGGATATACACATGGGATATCTAGTAGTGTCAAGTCATGATTGTGCATCATATGCCATATTTAAGGGCTCTGCAGTTAGAGTACTTGTGAGCGTCATTTCTCATCTGTCTATTATCTGTTTGATTACTAATTCTTAGTTAGTTGTCAGCTAACTGTGTAATGCCACACTCCCATGTACTTCTTGTTGGACATAACACAGGCTTAATAAAAATAGCAACCCGTACAAATTAGTTTAAGTCCTTAACAGATGAAACTGTCTCTTTGGAATTGGTGGGATCATGTTTCTCTTAAACAAAGATACATGAAATGGGTGTCTTTGTTACTAATAATAGGAGAGTGCATTAGAAAGCACTCGCTATAGCAGACCTTCACAGTATGAATGATTTAAAATGTCCCCAAATCCCTGGATGAAATACAAAACAATGTCACGTTCTAGAGGGCTCAGCTGCAGTGGCATTTAACAGCCATTGCCTGGAATTTTCTCAGTCACCCTAAGTCAAGTGAGTAAAAAGTGCAGATGTTCATAGATGGGAAACTTCCAGGACTAATCTAAAGAGTTGTCCTTGACAAGTCATGAAGTGGCATTTTTCCTTTTGAGCCAACACAAAAGGAGTGCCTTGGCATGTTTGCAGAAGGCTGTGGTGCTGAATGGGCTCTACCTGGAGATGTCTTAGAAAGATAAAAAGGTAAAAAGGAAATTAGGTGGAGCTTAACTTTCAGTATGTAGCAGCTTAAATTTTTCCAAAGGTCAGTGGGATCCCATTTAACTGCTGCCTCCTGGAAGCAACAGTAAAGTACTTTAGTTTTTAAAAATCAATGACACATACAGCAGTCCTGAGTCTGGGCAGGCCCAAAGAAACTGATATATCAGTGGAATGCAAAGTTACCTGGGTTTGTTTCATACAGAGCTAATACCCAGAGCTCTGTTTTGAAGGGTGTTGTGAACATCACATACCACGACCAGAAAATGCCCCGTTAGATTTGCAGCAGGAAAAAAGTGAGAAGCCTTTTCATGAGGAAGGAAACTGGGAGCTGGGATCGCAATGCAGAAGACCTTAAGATTTCTCAAAGCAGAAGACACCATTAAAAACATGTGTGTAAACAGTCCTCTACTTTAATAGATCAGATCGTTGCCTTTATTTGGTTGTTCTTGATTACCATTCACTGCCTAATACTGTGCTCATAGGAACTGGATCAGATCTGTTCTTGGGGCCGTGGACAAACCCAGTCTCTTGCTTAACTCCAAATTCTGCTGATTGGGAAGAGTGTCACGGAGGTTTTCAAAGCTCTTGGCTCCCAATGGGTCCCGCTGTAGGATTGTGAAGCTACAGGCTGGAGCAAATTGTGGGAGAGGTTTGCAAACCAGAAGACTACTTTAAAACTAAAGCCAGCATTGGAATGGGAAGCTGTCAGAGATGAGACAGGCCTGTGCAATTGCCTTGATTAATGGGTGAGCCTGGAGCATCCTGCACTTTTAGAAATGTGGCAGGCACTGGGAAAGGTGTATATACTGGTGGGAGTAGGGAAAAACAAACTGGAGAACTAAAGCAGTAAAGGTTCTTTGTCCTCTATATGTTTTCTACTGGAGCAGATCAACTTACGTCAGGAAATCAAATTAATCAAAAGTGTGAAAGGAAAGTGCCCAGGACATTTGTTAAAGCTTTTGCGGGGTCTTAGTTGTCTTGTGCCACTATAGCTCCATGCCCTTAAAAAAACCCAACACTTTGCTCTTGAATGTTTATGGGAAATTCCCTGCCCAGGCAGCTCAAGTATTTTACCGGTTTCTTACCTGTTGTTACCTGGCTTTCTGTTCTTCTTGCACCAGTCTTGAACATGTTACTAACTGGGAGCGCATGTGAGCCCTTTCAGAGTTAAAACCTGTGTGTAAAAGCAGCCAAGGCAGGCATTTTTGGTAGGAACAGC